TGTATTGCTACGTTCTTATTACTAGTATTTGCATATATTTGCATATCTTCAGTTTTTTTTTTATTCATCAGGGCAAAGCTAATAAAATAAAATAAATAAAATGTCAAATTTTCCTTTGTCGCAACTTATAATTTTTTTTGCTCCCTTACCGTTTTTAGTTTCAAATCACCCACAGCCACGCTCTTCATTCCGCCCTGTAGATCCCTGTATACGTTTAGACAGATTGTTCATCATTCAGTGGTGTAATATATTGGGTTCCAGGCTCCTTTTATTTTGCACTTGCGCAGTACATTAAAAATAGAGGACTAGCACATGGTTCGTTTTCACGCGGTAGTTTCATGACTTAAATATTACATTTGGCGACGAGGATGGCGCTCGTGGGGCAAGTAGGAGACTATATCGACGGGAAAGAAGATATTGCCAGTTATATAAAACGAGTGGAATTGTATTTTGTGGCGAATCACGTCGAAGCGGATTACGAAGTTGCTACGTTTCTAGCGTTAATCTGGGCAGATGCATATGACGTGCTCAGGAATTTTTTAGCCCCTGAACTTCCGAAAGATAAGTCTTTTGATTAGTTGAAAGAGCTTTTGGTTTCACATTACTCGCCTAAACCTATTTTGATCGCAGAACGTTTTAAATTTCATCGTCGGAACCAGCATGAGAGTGAAACGGTCGCACAGTTTGTAGTTGAATTGAAGCGACTGGCGTTGAAGTGTGAATTTGAAACTTTTTTGGAAGACGCGTTTCGGGACCGTCTCTTTTGTGGATTGAAAAGCGTGCAAATTCAGGAGAAGCTGTTGGCAGAGAGAGACTTGACTTTTAAGAAAGCGTTTGAAACAGCACAATCCATGGAGTTAGCCAACTAAGAAGATTTTCGAGACACCAGTGTGCCAGTGGACGACACCGTCAATAATGTCGGCAGATATGCCAGTTCAGGACATTCGACTGGAGATGCCGTAAGTTGTTTTCGTTGTGCTGGAAAGCATTCTCCGTCAGGTAGCTGGGCCAGGTCGGTACAATCTTACAAGTGGCACAATAAGGGTCACCTTGCTAAGATGTGCGATAAGAAAGGGAATACACAATCCACGCGTTATTTGGAGGTTGATTCACCTATGAGTACTACTGAAGAGCAGTCTGGACTGGGATTGTACACTCTCAAGTCTAAAGGACAAGTGGTTCAGGGTTTCAAGTTCAGTTATTGTTAGAGGGTAAACCATTCAGCATGGCAGTTGACACGGGATCAGCGGTGTCCATTGTCTCTGAGGTGGAGCATAATAAGTGGTTTAAGCACCTCAAATTGCAGCCAACGCAGTTCCATTTGAAAACCTATTCTGGCGAGTCATTACCCTTATTGGGGGAAATTCGAGTCGCTGTGAAGTATCAGACCCAGGAAATGTAACTACCTCTGGTGGTCGCTCAAGGAAAAAAGCCTGTGTTGCTTGGGCGTAACTGGCTTGAGAAATTGAACCTGGATTGGTCCACCATCGTCAAGGGGTCTCATGTGCCTGCTGTGGAGGATGTCCTTGCTAAGTATGAAGCTCATTCAGGTCCGTGAAGGTGCACAGCCCCTATTCCTGAAAGCAAGACCCGTTCCATATGCTCTTAAAGAAAAGGTGGAGCAAGAGCTTCAGAGACTGGAGGATGAAGGGATTATCTACAAAGTAAGTCAAAGTGACTGGGCTGCGCCAGTGGTGTTGGTCCCCAAGAAAGATGGTTCACTGAGAGTGTGTGGCGACTACAAGATGACAGTGAACCAGTGTGCTGATGTCGACCAGTACCCTTTGCCTAATACAGAAGATTTGTTTGCGACGTTAGCTGGGGGACAAGTATTTAGCAAGATTGATTTATCTCAAGCGTATCAGCAGGTAGAGCTGGATGAAGACTCGCAAAAGTACCTAACAATTAACACACACAAGGCTTGGTAATGTTACAAACGACTGCCGCTTGGAGTCTCCAGTGCACCAGTTATTTTTCAAAGGATTATGGATCAGTGATTTCAGGGGGTTCCCCTGAGGAACATTTCACCATCCTGGAGGAAGTTTTCAGGCGCTTACAAGAACATAGCATCAGGTTAAATCCTGCGAGATGCATTTTCTTCCAGTCGGGCCTCGAGTTTTTTCAGACACTGGATTGACAAGAATTGCATTCGTCCCCTCCCTCAGAAGATGGATGCAGTTATGCAAGCCAAGAGTCCTACCAATGTCACAGAGTTGAAGTCGTATCTGGGACTGCTTAACTGTTATGGCAAGTTTCTGCTCAATCTGGCGACTAGACTGCATCCTCTTCATGATCTTTTGCAAGAGGATAGATCTTGGATGTGGACCGAGGCGTACGACAGAGCATTTGTTAACAGTAAGAAGCAGTTACAAGATTCTCCTTTGCTGGTCCATTCTGATCTGAAGAAGTCACTTCGGCTGGCCTATGATGCATCACGCTATGGGGTAGGAGCGGTTATCTCCCATGTTATGGAGAACGGCGAGTAAAAGCCTATTGCTTTTGCATCTCGAACTCTCACAGCTAGTGAGTGTAACTATTCCCATATATAGAGAGAGGCCTTATCCATCGTGTTTGGAGTGAAAAGGTTAGTAGTAATATGTGGCACTTCTGCCAGTAGCCAATCAGCATCGAGTATTTAGGTCACGTGACATGGATTAGCCAATCAGCGTTAAGCATTTGGGCGTGGTTTCAAATCGCATTGTACAATGATTGACAGGTGGATTAACCAATCAGCATCAAGTATGACGTCATAGGGTGTGACGTCATAGGGTGTGACGTCATAGGGTATTGCGTCATAGGGTGTGACGTCATAGGGTATTGCGTCATAGGGTGTGACGTCATAGATCACGTGACACATTTGTTTCTTTTCAACTCTTTTATTTACTTTACAATTCAAAGGTTTTCTTACACAACAGTATAGTCAGTATCAATGTCACTCACTAAAGGAGGAGGAATTAAGTTTCCATCAACATACATTTCAGCATCAGTTACATCATATACATCATGTTGAGGCACATGTTGCTGCACTTGTAAATAGGGGTTTCTACCTTGATAGTAACGAAGGTGGGATTCGAAGATATCTTTCATACTTAGACCGCGTTCTGGGCTTGTTTCCCGCTTCAATTCCTCTTTGATGTCTAGCATCCGATCGTGCCATTCTACTACTCGGTGGTAGGTTTGGTTCTGCCAGTTTGGGAAGGCGGTATAAACGGCTTTCAAGTTGAAGATATACTTGCTTGAGACAGGCCACTGTGAGTCGTCAAGGCATTCGCTCTTTCCCTTGTCGATCCAATTTAAAAGATCATCCACCACTTTGTGCAGGTTTTCCAACTGTTGTTCAGTGTAGTTTTGGTTCTCTTTGTTCTCACTTAAGAATGCCATGTGACCGATGAACTTCTCGACTGTTGATCGTTTTTTGAACTTGACTCGGTAATATTTGTCCAGCGTCAACATGTCCACCATCCATTCAGGTACATTATCACCCTCGAGGACCATGCGGGTGGCCTGCAACAGTGTTCCGTTGACTGGACCGGGTCCCAAATCGTTATTAAAGTTGGTTAGATCTTGCATGGGCTGTAAAGGGATGTCACTATAGGCAGCCATGTTGGAAAAACTGATGAGAAGTGATGTTGTGCAACGGATTATAAGGGAGGTGTGGACCAATCATAGAGAAGGAAAGGGGTCAGGTGACATGGGAGAACCAATGAGAGGAAAGTAATTTTTTTTGCGTGAAAAGAGGGGGTATCCCCTCCCATACCCCCCTTTTTTTTTGACTCATTAGAGAGCACATGGTCAGGCTTGGTTACCTAGTGAGAATAGAGGGTATAAGAAAGAGAGTGCTGGGAGGGTTTGATTGCGTGTTTTCAAGATGTCGGTGAAACGTGCTTTACCAAGAAAGTTTGGAGAAGAGGATGAGATTATAGAAAGTGGATGCATTATTTGTTTGCACGATGGAAGGGATTTGCCAGTGACATCTTGTTGCGGACAGGAGGTGCATGAGGAGTGTTTAATGGAATGGTTAAAAGTAAGCCGAGGAAAAAATTGTCCTCATTGTAGAAGCGACATGTCATCGGTAAGATAAAACAACAGAGCAAGGTTTTGATCCTTGGACCTTTGGCTTATGAGGCCAATGTGCTAACCGCTACACCACTCTGTCTTTTGTAGATTCATGTGCTACAAAATCGTGCTATATACGATCGACTGACTGCTGAATTGGGAGCTGTGACTACAAGCAGAGTCTACCAAACCAAGAGGGATCATTTTTATTTGGATTTTGCTGTGTTGACCTGTGATTGTGAAGCTGAAGTGAGGGGAGTTGCGCGTTTGGAACTGTTTTGTGGATTGAACTCATTTATAGAAAGTATTAAGAGCATCAAAGGTGTAAAGATAAAAGTAGTTTAATAAAGTTGTTGTTTTTTTACAAGTTTAAACGAAGTTTGGCTTGCATGATTAACTTAACAATACGTTCTGTCCATGTTTTTTTTCCTGGGAGATTGGTGATGGCTTTGATCATGCGTTGATCCGCTTTCCATTTATCTTTTAAGGATTTGGCTTTGACATAGGCAATGTCATGTTGTTTCGCTATCTTGTCCAATCGATTGATGCCAGGATCCCCTCGTTGGAGTCTGGTTTTGAGTTTGGTGCCAGGTCCCATGTAATGATAACCGGGCCAATGAAATTCTACACCAATGTTGCATAATAGTCGATGAAGGTCAAATCTCCATGGAACAGCTCTGGGTCTTAGAATGATCTTGTTCGTCTTTGCCATTGTTGTGAGCGTGTGTTATAAGGTAACCAATCAGAAATGAGTTTTGTGCTTCAGTTTTCTTTGTTTTTTTTGTAGTTGACTTTTTTCTGATGGCTTTGGGTTTGGGTACAGTTTTTTTTGCAGGTTGTCCTCTCAAGAGGTTAAGGAGTAGTCGTTGAAATGCTTTGCCTTGTTCGTCTTCTTGAATAATGGATTCAGCAGAATCGGGAGGAGGAGTGATGTTGGAGGTGAAAGGACCCCGTTTGTATTTTCGTAGAACTTTATTAAACGTGGACCCGAGTGCTTTGTCTTTGGCTTGTTTAATGCCAGGTGGAATCTTTTTGTTTTTCAATAGTTTATGACGTGTGGCTGCCAGTTGGGTGGCTGTGGTGAGAGTAGGATCACTGGTGATGCGTTCTTTATAGACATTGGTTAAGTTACCCAGTTTCTCTGGCGGAATCATGAGTACTTGATTCATGTTGTTGAGCTGAAAGGATGCGTCGTATTTGTTCTTGGTAGTATTGCTTGGTGAAGTCGAGTTGTCGTTGTTGTTGTTCAAGTTTTTTGTTTTGTTCTTGGATGATGCTCACGAGGTTAGCAGTGGTGCTTTTATACTCTTTGCATTTTGTGCATTGTCGAATGCGTTTTATCGGGAGACACATCGACATACGTCTTGTAATCCCTTCCATAATCCTCCTCCACCGCCGCGTTGTCTGATTAACAGGTTTTTTCGTTTTTTAACTGATGCTCCTTTCTTGGCGATCGATCTTAAGAGTTTTTTGTGAGGTTTCAATCGACCAATGGTTTTCACGGAGACGGGAATGTTTTTTTTCAACAAGTTTAGAGTGATTTCACTCAAGGCATTAATTTGATCTTTGTTGGCATGACGAATTTTGTCCATGCGTTTGAATCGATTACTTTCTTTCAGGATGTTTTGGATGAAAGGAACGTGTTGTTTCACTCTATTCATCCTACTCGTTTTCGTCCAACTGCAGGTATGGCTGGTGTGGGTGTGACGGTTTTAGAACGTTTTTTTGCACCATTTGATGTCTTTTTTCCATTTTGAGATCCATATATAGCCGATCCGATGCCTGCAGTAGCAAAGCCAGTAGCAGCGGCGGCTCCTGCAGCCGTCCCTGCTGCTCGTCCAGCTTTGGTGAGTCCTTTTCGTATGGTTTTTCTCATGCCTTTTTTGGCTACCGATTTAGCCACGGATTTGCTGAATTTTTTCCCGCTGGTTTTGAGTCCTCGTTTAGCAGCTTGTTTAGCAGCTTGTTTGGCCGCTTTTTTAATGGTTTTCTTTCCCACTGTTTTGAGGACACCTTTGCTGACACTTTTTGTGACGGGTTTAATGGCTTTTGAGAGAGATTTGGAGACAAGTCGTCCCCATCCGCCTCCATGTTGTCTCAGGTAATTTTGATATTCTTTGGCATTTTTGAAGTATAACCAAGGTTCTCTGATTTTGCGATCAAATTTAGGTGGATGATAGGATCCCGTCGCACCTTTAGCGCTTCGACGTTTGTAGTCTGCACTATGTCCCATGGACATGCCTAATTCGGCAGCGATGGGGATGATGGTCTCGATGACCCCTCCGTATTGTTTTCGTCTTGGCATGATTTTGTTGTATCTGGTTTTTGCGATTGTTCTTTATATGCGTTTTTTCCATCCACTTCATCATGAGGGGATTTGTATTTTCGTAAAATACTATCTGGGATGGGAGGAGCAAAGTCAATAATGACATCTTCTAAAATTTGTTGCTTGAGTAGAAAATCATCCACCGCGGTTGATTGTAAATGACGTAATTCTAATATTGCTTTGGCATGAGTGGAATAAGCAAATCGACTCATGTCCATTTTGATAGAGTATTTTTTGAAATCGTTCCATCCTTTGATGAACATACCAACAGCAGCTAAGATGGCTGTTAATAAGACATTTTGTAGAACAGGTCCAATGATGAGTCCTAAAGAGGTGATGAGTAGAGAGAGAATGTTGAGAAGTGTAGAGTAACGTTTGAATTGATAAAACATTTGTCGATGGCACCACCATTGACGGTGATGATGTTTGTATACCTTGTTCATGGTGTGACTCTTGTCGAAGTTCTTGAGACGGAGGGTCTATTTCTACGATTGTTCCCAACGCGGGTTCTTGTATTTGTAACGGTAGGACGTCGCCTGTTTTGTTTGTAGGTGGTGGTCACTGTGTTCGTGGTTACAATGTTACTGATTTCTCGGTTATCAGCAGCAATGTCGTCTAATAATAAACGAAGTTGCTGTTGCATACGCCCTCGGGCAGGAGCACCGGTTGTGGTGGTGGTGGTGGCGGTCGGTTGTCTATTTCGTCGCCTTCTTGCCCCTGATCTAGAGGTAGTTGTGGTGGTTGCAGTAGCAGTGGGTCTTCTTCTTCTTGCTCTCGATCTAGAGGTTGTGGAGGGTCTTGTTGGCGGTGGTGGTCTAGTGGTGGTACCTGGACCAGTGTTGATAGGAGCAGTGGTATCTATATTGGCTTCATTCATGGCTTGTTGTACTAGATTTACAGGTGGCGCGGGTGGTCTTTGTCGAGTGCTTGTGCCTACTCCTGTGGTAGTAGGCGGTCGAACGGGTGGAGCTACTTGTTGAGGAGGAGGATCCCCAATGCGCGGAATATCAGGATCTACGGGTGGTACATTGATGACGTCATCAAATAATCCACCAAAAGCATCGGTATCTATTCCAAGATCTTGGAGTTCTTCTCTCGCGGAAAGGTTTTGTACAAATTGGGTAGCGGCATCATCACTTATGGGTCCTTCGGGACTGGAGTCCATCCTTTCGTCCACAAATGATGAATGAGATCAGTGAAATGGGTTTCGTTGTATCTATTAGTGACTGCTGCAATCTGACGTTTTTGTCTTGCCCGAACATGATTATATACCTCTTTGAATGGAATATAATCCATATGATCTGGAGTCATGGTTTGAAGATGATCATAAAATACTTTTTCTAATTGATACCATTGTTGTTTTCGTTGTTGTATGGCTTGTTTGATTTCTTGTACATCTTCCGGTAAGAGGACATTGCTAAAATGATCCTTTTCGATTTTGGTCATGAAGGATTCATGAAAATCATCTAAATCATCCACGGATAAAATCATTTCTTCAAGAAGTCTCGTCTTGAGGTTCCATCTTGCGTTTCTTTTTGCCATGTTTTGGTACACTCTTATGTCGTTTTCCCGTGGCATGTTGATCAAACTGCCAACAATTGGTGATGCCCTGATCTTTTAATACATGACTGAGTACTCGTTGTGTATCGGGACTGGTGGGATGGAAATCCAACAAGAGATACCCATGCGGTGCTTCAGTGACTTTTTGGAAAGTGTCCAAGACCGTCGACCAATTGCTTGGAAAAGCTTGTAAGAGTAGATTGCGAATACCCACTTGATCGCGCGGATTTTTGAAAGCCCAGACATAATGGACATTTCTGGAGATGGTCTTGGAGTATTTTCCAATGGGAAAAATATCTTGTAAAAGATAGATGACCGTGACGTTTCTGTGATGGGAATATTTGGTGAAGATATCCAAGATATTTTTATCATTGCCGCATTCATCCATGAGATCATCTAAGATTAGAATACCCCCTTTTGGAAACCAAGAGGTGATGTGCTGTTCTTGAGGCACACCTTGATGAAAACGTATACCGCATTGTTTCATACGTTGGTATGCCGGTTGCCATGCGCCATAGCAATAGTGAATGGAATGAGGTTTTTCCTTGAATAGATCTAGGTTGTTGCATAATAGGTTTTCGACTAAGTTGGTTTTTCCACATCCCGAGGGACCTACTATCATATGTCCCGCAGGGGTATACAATTGATAGTGTCGAGGTAGAACAAACATGATTTAACAACAACGGTAAAAGGGTACAAGTCCTTTTATTGACAAGAAGTACAAGTTTGTGAACTGGGGCGATGACAAGCTTCACGCCAAGTGCGTTTATCTGTGATGAAATTAGTTAACATTTGCCCCACTTTATGATCATTGGCAACATAATCTTTGTCGGAAAAACAGGCTAAAAAATCTTGCATGGAATAACCTTTGGCTTTGGCCTGTAAATAAAATAAACAATAATGTCCGCAGGCTTTGCTGGAGAGGCTTTGTAAAGCTTGTCCATTGGATACGACATGTTTCCATTTTCTTGTCCATCTTTGTAATGGTTTGGATTCGTAATACTCGAGAGGTAAAGCATAACTGTCCATCATCTCGCATACGCCATGATCCGTCCAAATGGCGATCCAATGTAGGCCGGGTTTATCATGTGGATCTGTATTGACAATGTATGCAGAAGTGCGTTTATTGGGGGATTCAGGTAATTTGTCGGATGGGAAAACGCCTCGAAAATAAGATGTTAGAACAGGGTCTTGTCGGGCCAAGTAATTGAGTTGTTGATCACTGAGTGCCACACTTTCCATCACTCGTAGATGTTGTATTCCACGTCATTCATGCTATCCACCGTCACAAGGTTTTCGAATTCACCGTAGATTAACACTGTGGTGACAACCCCTATAGCTGCATGTGTTTCAATCTCAATGCGTACGTCACCCTTTTTATTGGGGTTCATCATGCCTGTGTCAGCATTGCCACTGCCTACATTGTTCCACATGAACAGATTACAGTATCTATCTTCTCCCCAATCTTCTTCTCTCAACATGTTGGGCTGACTCTTAATCAGTGCTCCACTTGCCTGCAGGAATCGATAATAACCATCGTAGTCATATCGATCATCCTGAGTGAGTTCCAACGTTTCATAGGGATACTCTTCTCCTTGGATTTTCTGTTTGATGGTCTTTATTTTAGCTTTGAGGAAGGAGAAGGGGTAATAGTTTTTGGTGCCATTGAAGGATTTACTATCCACAATAGCAAGCAGCACCCTCTGTGGGACTTTGCCATTGAAGATATTATTTTCTTCGAACCGTACTTGGTTGTCTGAGTTCCAGATGAATGTTCTCAGTTCACTTCGTACCACTGGGTAGGTGACTTTTCTAGCATTGTTTTGGGTCTGTAGGGTGAGACTGTTGTAGATACTGGAGTTAAGACTCAATCGGGCTGGGTGGAATCGCATGTCAATATCAGACTCGGTGAATCTTATTTTCTTGGTACTGGTATCAGCTACCATGGTCCAGAATTTAGGATCATGGAAATGGATTTCAAACTGCATTTGGACTCCAGGTTTCAATGCGTAAGGAAACCAAAAGGGTTCTACATGGGGTCTCATCTTGAGATGAAGTTCCAGCAAACTGCTATTACTGTCATTGTAGTATCTGCCAGATTCTGCTTGGATCAGTTTGAAATTAGCTTGCTGATGTTTGGACCAGGCAGATGTCTTGATGTCCGTGTTACCCGAGGCTGTCTGCAACCACTTTTCGGGGATATCCAGTGCATTGACCCAACCTTGTGGTCTTAGGATGGTTTCTCCATCTTCTCTGTCATAATTTAGGATAGTTTCAAACATGGCCTTGTAAGGATAGGTATCTGTGTGTGGGTTGATGAGAGTACCATTGAGTCGTACCGTGATTTGTTTGATCATGCTGTGAGCGAGATTATTCACTAGAAACAGATCATCGGTGGTCTTGATGGGTGCTCCATCCGACATGGCTAGTTTCAGTCTCATGGTGAAGTAACTTCTGGAAAGATCGACAAATTCTTGCATAGAAGGAAGATCAAATTGAATGGGTGTGATGCTTTTCCCCACAGGACTAAACGTGGAAATTCGACAATCATTGATACTAATGTCTGTCGGGGGAACCTTGAAGATGTTCAAGACGGGGTTGACCCCCTCCTTAGAGAACGAATGCGCTGGATGTACGTCTGTATTCATCGTGTTTTGTGACGTCGACGACGGGCTGCGAGTCTTCTTTTATACCATGGAGGTATACGCGGATAATTTTCCCCTCTAGGACCAAAGATGGTTCCTCCTGCGCGTCTGCGTCGGATAGTGATCGTTCCTCCACGCTGACCATAACGTTTCAAGGCGGGTAAGTATTGCGGTCGATTGTAAGGTGGACTCCATTGCCTGACCATGATTCACTCAAAAATGTCGTGGATGATGCGTTTTCGTTTTTTCGGGTGCAGTTGATTTTTTAGAGAGGATGCTTTTCGTTTCAAAGCTCTTGGTAGTGATTGAATCACACTCGCTGTATCGAGTCCTTTTATGGATAATCCTCCTGTTTGATTGGAAGGTCGTCCGCTTCCCGTCGAACGGGTACCTCTGTTGGGATCATAACGGGTTAAACTACCGCCTATCATGGTCGAGTTTGATGGAGAAAAATGAGAGTGAGTTCCTTTTTATTCTCTTTTAAAGTGTAAGACCAAGTTGGTGGTCCCTTTTCCAAATTTGAGGAGAGTGTTGTCGGTTTCTGTAATTTGCACCTCCATGATATCCATGTCTGTACTCATGACATCGTGATATTGAATATCCTTGGGTTCAAAGTGAATCTTATCATATTGATGATAGCTCGTTAAAGGATCATATTCCACTTCTCTCAGTAAATCGACAATCTGATCCCCCACGATAGTGCTTTTTCCTATATTGGTGTAGACATAGACTGTTCTCTTGCATTGTCCAGTGATTTGTTCATACATTCGATTTAAATGAACAAATCGCCACTTCGCTTTCATCGTGAGTTGAAATCTATTCCCAGTCACTTGAAACAATTTGGCATTTCCCAGTTCTGTTTGGAGAGGACGGATATAATTGGTGAAATCTGGGACTAGATGAACTCCAAAATTATCTGTTAGATTACCATCTTTGTCGTAATAAGGCCATTTCATCAATTTGGCCATTCGTGCATCAAAGGAAAGGTGCACACCGTCTGCATTAGCATTAGCACCTGTACCAACTATCATTTCAAAATCTTCTCCCACGCGTTTAATTTCAAAGGGTATGAATTCCTCTGCGATGATTTTTTCACCAGCACCAAGTAAAGACAATCGACGCGTATCTATTATTTGAATGATGGAACTAAACAAATCGACTCCAGATTGAAAGTTGTCACGTTCTTTGAGATCTTTCAACTTGACATTAGTGGTTTTGGAACTGTAGTGCCCTGAAGTACTGGTTTCGGTTTTGTTTCGGACGGTTACTAGGTTATCATTATCTTTAATTCCAACCTCCTCCAATTGTTGAATGAAATTGATGTTGGGTAAAGTGATACTTGCCAGACCCACTTTCCATCCTTGTCCATCCAATTGCAAATGTTTGGGTAAACGCACTCGAAACTTGGAAGCGGTGTTGTCTTCAAATTCTGGACGTGGAAAACTGGGTAGAGTGATGTAGAAGCTCATTTTGTCGTTGAAAGTGAAGCGTGATAGAGGTGGTCCCTGTTGTCAATGCGATTGCTTTCCCAGAGATATCAGAGAGATTAATTTCAATGATATCGACACGCGGTTGACGAAGCGGAATGTAACGAATGGTAGTCGGTTCAATGTGGAGTATACCCTTGTTCTCTCTTTTATAGAGGACCTGTGTCAACAAATTTAGCATGGTATCATTGAAATAGGTACTTTGAATCAAATTGGAACGAATCTGGATCAATTGTGAAGGATGTATTTCATCGTGAAATGAAAAGGTCCAACTGGAAGCCACACTCAAATACAAGGCCTTGTTAGGTGCTATCTCCCAATAGGAGTCTCTAGAGCGTGATCCCCAACGTTTAATAGTCCATTCATTTTCGAGATCCAAGGCATATCGATCGGACCCGTTATCTTGTTTTAAGATAGTTTGTTTTAAGTTGGGTCCCAGTTTCGGATTCATATGTGCTATTTCACTTAGAGCGTCGTTTGATCGAAGAATGAAACCCATTTGAATGGCAAACAGTAGATTCATGCTGATTCGAGGGGACACCCGACCAAGGTAGGTACTGTTATTATCCAAGATCAAATCGCCATTTTGTTCCCATCGAAAAGTCAGACTTGTATTGTAGGCACTCCGCGGTGGAAACTTAAAGGTGGAAGCTTTGTCTTTCATTTTCTCCATCTTACTATATTCGAAAGCGGTGGCTACTGCATGCATGATGTCGACTTTTTTTGTGCTATTTCCAATGTGTGATTTTAGGAATGAAAAGGACCTGGACTGTAACTCATATGTCGATGTCACTTCGTGCCATTGAAAGGTTATTAGTATAGCATCGTCTGGAATATCATCTAGTGGATTGGAAGGTTGATGAGCATCGGGAAGAAACAAGGACGACATACCGGCGGTCCACAAACCATCATCAATTTGAATGTTATTAGCAATTCTTTTTTGAAAGTGATTGCCGGTGTTTTTTGGAAACTCACTGGTGGGTTCACTGTTGAGAGTGATGTAGAATGAGTCCATCTCTTTATGGTTCTATCTGCACAAGTCGACCTCCTCGTTGTAAAAAGGCTTTGGTGATTTTTTTCTTGCTCCCAGGAAGTCTGTTGGCAACGCTTCTGAAACTGGAGACATTGGGAAAGACAATGACGGGTGTTTTAGCATCGGGAACAGCTTTGATGAGTGATTTTATACTTCTTTCAGCTGTACGTCTTGGTCGGCGTTTCCTTCGTCTGCTTTTGTTGATGGTTGGTTTTCGAATATCTTGTAACCTCACTTGAGGTTGCATGAGTTTCATACCGCGCGTGGGTCGTACCATGATGTCTTACTTTGATTGTAATGGAGTCGATTGTTTTTTGCGTAACCTCTTTATATCTGTTTTACTCATCCATTGGTCATATTTGGCAGGCCATCCTTTCCAGCGTACGAGGACTTGATTTTTTTTACGTTTGACCACTTTATCGATGCGAAATACATGATCATCAGGGATGGTGACTTTTTGAAGATCTTCATTGTAAAAGGTGCCGCGAATAGGGGTACCATCCCATTCTTTGACACGATAGGTAGGCACGGGGGTTTTGTTGACTTTATATACTAAAAACATTTCTTCAGTCCATCCAGGCAGATACCCTTTTTTAAACACGCGATGTTTTTCGTTGAGTCGAACCCTATCCCCTCGTTGAAAATGAGGTCGAATGCGTTTTATGGGTTTGCCGTATAAGCGTTTCCATACGGTTTTCTCATTGGCAAACGTCACGTCTTTAGGAGCCATGCCAATACTTCGATGTTTGCTTCGATTATACCCTCGGACAATGGCTTGTAACACATTTTCGTAACGCAAGGTGTCTGCGGATGTCAGATAACGATAGATTCGTTCTTTCAGTGTTCGATTCACGCGTTCTGCCATGGCAGCTTTATCATCGCCTTCTGTGGAAAACAGATGGATTTTTTTCTCTTTGAGAAAGGTTTCCATGGTTTTGTTGTAAAATTCTTTTCCTTGATCCATTTGAAGTTGAATGGGTTTACGTCCACGGGCCAAGATGACTTGAAAAGCTCGAACCATTTCTGTTCCTGTTTTATTTTTCAGCGGCACCACCCATAAGAATTTCGACAACGCATCAATGACCGTCAATAAAAATTTGTATCCCTTGTTGTGTCGACTCAATCGTTGAACATCGATTAAATCAGCCACCCATTGATGATCGATCCCATAGACGATTACACGAGCTTTGGGAAAACGTTTTCGTCTCGGACGATGAAGCGTGTAACCCAGATCTTTGGACAAGATTTGTTGGGCTTCTTTGACAGGAATCCCTTGAGCTTTAGCAAATCGTGCCACACCCCCTAGACTTCCATCCACATTGGGATTCGTGTACAAAGACACCAAATCCTTTTGACTCATTCTATCCAATGACTAAGTAACTCTAAAAAGGAGGGTATTTGGGCAGTAAACTGTTGTTCGATGGTAAAATAGTAGTCTTTGGCCAAGGGAAACTGTTTTAACCAGACCACGTAAACGACAAATCGACCCCAATCGTATACACGCGTTTCTTTAAAAGTAGCCACAGGATCACTCCATATTTCCAAAATGGGGCTGGTTGAATATTTTAAAAAAAGTCGTCCGCAAAGAAAACGAATCAGACGCCAACGCAAATAACGCCACATGTCTAAAAAATACTTTTAATGACACTCTACCTATATACATTTTTTTTCTCATCATATAAGCGTCACTTGTAAGTCATTCCATAAAAAGATGGGTCTAAAAACACGATGTTGTCGCGTATAGGCATTGTCATCATCAAAGTAACGAACAAGCAACGTGTTTCCAATGGTACCCTGAGATATATGATAACCCGTCAATAAACGATGAAAAAAATTAACCTTTGGATCATATCGTCCTTGATAAAACGTATAAGCAAGATAACCAAAAACATACATTTTGTACCTAGGTAACTCAAGGGGTCTAGAATACAAGTCAGGGTAATGACACGCTAGTGTAATAGGGTATCGTCTTTTACGGATGCGTAGTTTGCATCCATGGCAACAGAAATGATAGTCCTCATTTTCAAAATTAAAACCCCAAATATATTCTTCTGACAAATGGTCCGCTCTCTCTAAGACATATCCACAATCCCAACATCGCATTTGTCTATATTTTAAAGGAAATAATTGTTCATGCAAAGCTTTCCATCCCATCTCATTTCGTGCGTGGACCATTGGTCGCCAATAAATACGTTCTTGAATAAAATGAGGTAACTTTTTCCAAGGCAATGTCTCATCAAACTCCATAAGTGTTCACAGGGGGACCATAGTTGGATACTCCCGGTCTCGTATAATACAAGAATGGACCGCCGCCGCCGTCTTCGCGCGGACCGCCGCCGCCGTCTTCGCGCGGACCGCCGCCGCCGCTGCCGCTGCCCCAGCCTGTTTTGGTCAGATTCTTTCGTTTTTCTTCCATGTCTGCTTTCAAGCTGGTA